AGTTGTAAGGATGGGCTCAGCCTCTCTGGAAATCAGTCCAGTCCAGGGAGATGGGGACATTTGTGAAAGAAGGGTTAGGAAGCAGTTATAAGTGGGAGGCTCGTTGGTCTAGGGGTATGATTCTCGCTTCGGGTGCGAGAGGTCCCGGGTTCAAATCCCGGACGAGCCCTGTGATATAAACCTGACTGTCATTTAGTTTAATTATGCTGCTTTTTTGAGCCTCTTAACAAGTATGTGTATCTATTGATCTGATTCCAGACCCTGGACAAAGGCAAAAAGTCCCGCCCAACGTGGGGCTCGAACCCACGACCCTGAGATTAAGAGTCTCACGCTCTACCGACTGAGCTAGCCGGGCAACTTATAGATTCCCTCCTAAGACCACGTAGCCTATATTGTTCCTCTGGGAAACTACCTGAAATCTCCTAGAGAGAAGGGAAGGCAGTCTGATACAGATGTACAAAGGGGTACAACCTCCCTGGACTACCCATGTCTGGTGCATCGAGGCCCAGGGGGGCTGAGCTAAAAGAGCATTTCCCCTGGGAGCCAAATGAAACCCCTCCAAGCACTTCTCCCTTCTCCAGAGGGGAAACTTGGGAGCCACTTTTAGTCAGTGAGGTCAGGGTCACAGGGTCCAGGTCACTAGAGATAGATGGAACTCCCTGTATCGGCTCCTAGGTGGTGGGTCTCCTCTAGGTCTGCGACAGGTCCTGGGTCCAAATCCCACACCAGCTCTCACTTTCAAACTCTAATTTCTTGTCTGACCCGCCCCCACTCTCCCCACCACACCCCCTTGCTTTAGGGTGGGCAGCATGGAGTGAACCAGGAAGGTGGTACCCCGGCATTGGGTAGAACTAGGGCCTTCCTCCTTTCCAGCCAGCTTCTGGAACATCCACCAGCCAATGAAAGAGGGCAAGTGCCCAGGGGTCTGGAGTTGGTCCACCCCAGAGATGCCCCTGCATGGGAAGGACTGCCGCACAATGCAGGGACCCAAGAAAAGACATGGCACTTTGGGGAACCTAGAGCCTTCGGGAGATTTGTAGGTCCAGCCCAGGGCAGGGCGGGCTTTGCAGAGAACAGAGCCTCTGAGTCTCCCTGAACTCTGGCTCCTTCGCTGGGGCAGATGAGACTCAGCTTGGCTCAGGGCTGGGGTTGGTAAGTCAGAAAGGCAGGAAAGCCTTAGTGTGGGTGGCACAGGGAATCCCCTGCGGTTTTTCGACAGTGCCCAGCTCTGTTGTGATGCAAGTTACCGTGCCTCCACTGGGCTGGAGGGAGGTCTGGGTTGTCGAGGTACCTCAGAAAATGGACACTTGAGCTCCAGACCGTCCTCCTCTGCCTCTTCCCCTCAAGGCTTCTAGAATAGTCCTAGCTGGGCGAGGGTGGACAACAACGGGACCAAACCAATGTCAAGAATGCTGCTTGTGTTGGCTTGTTGGTCTAGGGGTATGATTCTTGCTTTGGGTGCAAGAGTTCCCAGGTTCAAACCTTAGACAACCTCCACACTTTTGACCCTTTGACACAGAGCCAGGGAAGAACTAGGGTTCATCAGCAAGACTCCAGACTTGAGCTGCCCTGATCCTTTCTCACTTCTCTTTAACCAAATGTCCCACTGGTTTGGCCCAGAGGGAAGCAAGGAGAGAAGGGTGTCTCCCGGTACTGCAGGCTCCCATGTCTTAGAGTATTTCTAGATACCCAAAGCTGGGGACACCCTAGAGAATGGGCCTAAATAAAGCAGATTTTTGTTGACCCATACTCCCAGGCCACACTGTATCTCTCCTGAGAAGACAAATCTAAACAGTGCCAGGCAACTGAGGGCAGAAGTTAAAGGTCATAAGGACCACAAGCAAAAGGAACTGTTTGGCTTAAGGAGGTTTTCCTTGCTGTCACTCAGCATGGTGGCACACACCTGTAATCCCAGCGGCTTGGGAGCCTGAGGCAGGAGGAACTCAAGTTCAAAGACACTCAGCAACTTAGTGAGACCCTAAGTAACTCATGAGACCCTGTTGTAAATAAAATACAAAATAGGGCCGGGGATGGGGCTCAGTGGTTGAGGGCCCCTGGGTTCAATTTTTGGTACCATATAAACAATCCCAGATTCCACCCAGGCAGCCACCTCTGGACAGGCAGTGTGAGGCCTGGCTATAATATCTTGCTAACTGTCTGGGGCCTTGAGCTTTAAGTGTTGGGGACAACTTGCCATCTTCCTGTTTCAGTGTCCCAGTTCCTTAGGATTACAGATGTGTACCACCACACCTGACCCTCCAAATCATTTAAAATGGCTCTAAAAATCAGTCCCTCTACTCCCCTGTTCACCTGTGAGCAGGGTGAACAGTGGGAAGGCCCCCCACAGTGATTTGGCCATCTAGAATGGTCAGTCAGGAGAGCAGGTCCTGAGGAAGTTCCCCACACCAAGCTGGGTCAAGACGTTGAAGGGACCTCTTCCCTTGGCTCTGCCCCTGCCCTCTGCTTCCCCTGAAGTCCAGCCTCAAGGCCGTTGCCCTTGAAAAAGTCATAAAGCTAGATGGAAGGGGAAACGTGGGACCGGCCAGGAGTTTGCACACACAGTACCCAGGGCTCTCCCTTTCCTTCCCCAGCCGGGCTTCCTACCACCACACCACTCCCACAACCCCACTAGCCTGCCCTCCAAAGCCCCACGGTGGTCGGTGGTCGGTGTGAGTCCTCCCAAGGTGGGGCTGGCCTCCCCACCCTGCCGCCGGCAGAATTCTGACACACTGCCTGGATTAGAACCTGCTTGCCACAAGCTTTGGGTTAATGGAGAATGTAATCCGTGGGTAAAGTCACCAGGAAGGTCTCCCAGGCAGCAGGAGCAAGAGGAAAGCAGGGAGGTAGTTGGTCATGGGCCTCCTTCTTGCCTCATGTATGAGTAAAGCTGAAACAATCTAGCCTTGCACTTTTAAACATTTCGGGGCGAGGACTGGACAGAACACGGAAGAAGGGTTAGGGGTGGGCTACAGAGCTCTGGGAAAGACCAAAGCTCCCCAGCAGGAATAGTCGCCGACTGGGGCCAAGAACACTAGTCAGGGGTAAAGGCAAAGGAGGGCCCAGGAAAGACCCTCACACTTCCTGGGCCACTCTGGTTGGAGTCACTAGTGTGCCCGACCCGAAGCCTCGCACTCACGCTGCACTGCGCCTGGTCCTTTGAAAAGGAAAATCCGAGGACCAAAGTCCTGGGCCCTCCAGGTGTCTCTGGCCTGGGGCAGTGGAGGCAGGGAAAGATCCACAAGTTCTCTCAGGTGCAGGCCTCTTTGAGGGTATCCAGAGGCGCCCAGAACTGGGGGAGGCCGAATACAATCCGAGACCCGCAGAGCCGCAGAACCACGATGACAGGGAAGTGGATGCTGTAGCATTTTCCCGGCTGAAGCGGGAAACACTATGCAAACAGACACCCACTGTTGCATGCTCAAAAGGAGCGTGGAGGTGACCAGAAACAGGCCAAGGAGTGTGATTCCCGCTAGGAATGAGGGAGGTCGCGGGTTCAAATCCCAGAGGAGATATTACTTTGGCAAGTGAGATACCACCATCACCATCACATGGTGGTGGGAAGTTAGGTTCCCCGCTGCACTCAGGATTGCCTGACCCCTGTGATTTTGACTGTGCGTTCCTGCCTTCTGTGTTACTCCTTGCCCAGTGTTAGAAATTATTCTGATGTTGGATCTTTAAGATGAAGATCAAGAGGGACACAAGATAGAAATAAACCTTCTATTACTCAAAGGCCTAAGCAGTCCAGGGAATGCCTGCCTGAAGGGCACACAGAGGTCAGTAAAAACTACAGCAAGGTAACAAGTTGAACACACCCACAGAAACAAAATGTAAGAGATCCCAGCAAGCAGCTCCCTGAAACCCACATCCTGAAAGAACCCCCACATGCATCCTGCCACTACCTCAGAGACACCCTGGAAGCCTGCGACACATCCTGTTTCTTGCAGAACTTGCTAACCCTAACCCACTCTTGCAAGTCCATAAAAACCCCAAACCCCTGAGGACTCCGGCTGACACAGCTCTTGGAGTCTGGCTCCTCTCCTCTCTTGGAAAGTGAATAAAATTTTCCCCCCCTACCTTAAAAAGTAATCCCAGACGACCCCTCCTCTTTTCCTTCAGCAGCGGGGATTGGGGTAGAATTCAGTGTGAACCTTGGGTGATCGATATAGGGGCAAGAACCCCGACTTGCGCGGGCGCTGACTCCACCTTCCCGCCGAAGTGTCGTTTGACCCCTGATGCGCTGTCGCCTCTTTCCCCCACCCCTTACCCAGACCACTGTCCCTTCGGGTAGGGCCAGACTTTCCTAATCTCTGAGTCCTGAGTGGGAGCTCCAACGTGAGTAGTTTGAGGGACGTGGGGCGCAGCCTTGGCTGGAGACTCGCTCACTCCACGCATCCCTCGGCGGCTCCCAAGCTGTTTTTCCGCGCCTCGGCCGCCAGGCGGTGCTGCGGGGCTGGGAAGCGGCTCCGTCGCGGCATGTATGGCAGGGGGCGCGCGAGCGAGGCGGTATCTGGCCCGGGCTTGCGTTGTCGCCTCTGTCAAGGACCAGGGCGGGTGCCTAAAACCCCTTCCCACCGGGCCCGCAGAGGTGGGCCTGTCCTGAGAGGACGTCTTTTCAAATGGTCCCCCGATTTGGCCCCAGAAAATCTGATTTCTCCTCACTTCCTGGGATCTGAACAGAAACTACGGGGGCCACCCGGGCGTGAGACCCAGTGCCTCTGAGGTCCAGCATGACCCCATGGTGGACGCAATCCATGGTGGCCCAACTGCCTCTGTCCACACCGGGAGCAGTAAAAACACCCTTCCCCTCCCAGCCGGGGGCTGTCGGCAGAGGCCTGGCCATACTTGGAAAAAGGCAACACTCGCCGACACAGATGGTTTTTAATTATTAAACTAAGAAAATGACTCTAGACAGCTAGAGGAAGCACATGTGACGTTTACATGCCAACAGGTGGAATCCGGAGGGTTTGTTAGATCATATATGGGGGGGATATTCCCTTGCGTTTAAGGCCAGGGTCAGCGCGTCGTGGGCTGAGCTCGCGCAGGTCCGCGCCGCTTCCTGTCCACGCCGCGGGACTGGGTCTTGTCGTCTGTCCCTAGGTCGGCGCGCCGCCCCACTCCCTTCCCTGCCCGGCACGATCCCGCAGTCCCTGACTGTAGGGTTTCCACGGTCTGCACGCCCGCTCCGACCGAGGCAGCGTGGCCGGGTGTCAGAAATCCCCCGGGAGGTTGGCTCCTGGCAGTTCCTTGGCGCCCAGTGTGTCCCCGGGGGATACCAATAGTGACTACGTGTGCAGTCTCCTTTTTCAGGGTAGTGACCTGACTCGTTATTTTGAAGAGTTAGAGCAGCCGGGCTAGCTCGGTGGGTAGAGTAAGAGACTCCTAATCTCAGGTCGTGGATTCCAGCCCCATGTTAGGTCCCCTCTCCACGCATCTCTTTCCTGTCTGAGCCAGGCCACTTGTTTTCAGTTACAGAGCAGCCCTCACCACAAAGCTTCCTCTGAAAGCGCCAGACTTTGACTTCTTGTCTTACAGGTACTACCACTACTGGACCTTAAAAATTGGGCTAGTGTGGTATTTGAACCAGAATCAGAAAGGGGCCACCAGCACACACACACACACACACACACACACAACCCCCTGAGGTAAAGAAGGGACACTGGTGTGGGCAGTATATGTCCTGGACCTCTTGCCTGTGTTCAATTCACCTGGCTAGGGCAGTAATCAATCCTCAGGTGTACAAGAGTACAAGAGGGTCACTCTTCCAGCTTAGGATACCCCAGTTTCCACGAAAACCCTTAGTCCCTGCCTGTATTAGCCATCTCCTATTTTCTGCATTCTGAAACTTGGACATCAGGGCCTCACTCATCCTGGAGGGACTTCTCCTTCCAGGCTAGCAAATTCTTGGAGATAGCAAACAACTCCTTCCAGATTGTGCACTTCAAATACAAACCCACCCACACAGAGGCCACAACACTGATCACCTCTTTTATTGAGCTCTGCTACTCTGGGCCAGGACTCACAGCCTGTGTCACCCAGGGTCGGGTATCAGACAACTAGGGACAGACTCCACACCCCGGAGCCCCCTGAAACTATTCAAGCTAGTCAATTTTAACCTGCTTATCTTTATAGTCCCATGAAATCCACAGTACGGGCTCTTGACTAGTTATCTCACCCCTTCTCCGTTATGTTCTCAATGGCAGTTGTCTCCTCTGCAGGTTGCACTGTTCCCGAATTACAGCAAAACCTATTCAACTGCTGCCGTTCTTCAGAGACCAAAGGCAGGAGCGCCCTGCACTTCCACGGTGACCCCTTCTTCTTGGCAGCCCCAACCCAGCGGCTCTAGGCCTCGCGCTCAGACTCTGCCGCCGTTTCCTCCCCTTGGTTGTGCAAGGCAGCCTCTCAAGAGGAAAAGGACGTTCACATCCGTGGGCTCCGCCGGAATTTGACTTATGGTACCCAAAGGAAATTACCCGCCCAGAGTAAGTGCCATCCCTGGACACCCCCCCCCCCCGTGGTCTGGCACAGGACGGGGACCTGTCCAGGAGGCGGGGAGGTGGGATTGCCCTCCGCTCTGTTGCCCAGGTTTGGGTTCCGTTTCCCCAGAGGAATCTAGAACTTCTAGGTCCAAGAATCAGACTGGGTGAGGCCCAGGCCACGCGAGGGACAGCTGGCAACGCCGAGAGGTCGCAGGCTTTCGGGAATGTGCTGTGCCTGAAAGAGTCAGCGTCCCCTGGGCACAGGATTTGTGGGTGGGGAAAAAAAGCCGGGCTCGTCCGGGATTTGAACCCGGGACCTCTCGCACCCAAAGCGAGAATCATACCCCTAGACCAACGAGCCGCCGTGCCGGGACACTCTGACGCTGGTCCTTGGAGGCCGGATCCGGCGGCTCCGCCCCGCTCCTGCCAGGGCTTCCGGGTCTCGCCCGGGAGCTAAAGACCAGGGCCGCCGCCTGCGGGGCAAAGGAGCCAGCAAGGCCCGCGTGAGCTCTGGGGTCTTTCCGGGTGCACCCCAACCCAGACACCTCACCCCACGGGGCACCCGAGTCGGGGATCCTGAGCAGGGGACAAGGGACTGCCACCTCCCGACCGGCCGGCATGGGCGAGCTTCGAGCAACTGAAGGAAGCCGGGGTCCCCCCGGACCCCACGACTGCGCCCCTCCCCTGGACCAAGACCCCTGCTGGCCTGGGCGTGGCCCCGAGACCCGACTCAGGGGTCAGAGCTGGGTCAGGGGCCTTTTCCTCCAGCGCGCGGCCGTGCGACCCTCCCAACGTGGCCTCCTCTCGCCCTGGAGTCAGCAGCTCAGCGCAGCCCAGGGGGGCGAGGCGTGCTCCCGCGGCGAGGTCCTGAGCCGCCCCAGGGAAGGTGGAAAAGGAGGCGTCGCGGGTGGGTTGACCCGGGTTTGGGTTCCTCTCATCGCGCTCCCTGCTGGATCGCCTGGCCCCCGACCTTCCAGCTGCCCGGAGCTGCAGCGGCCGCAGACACCCGACGCACAGCAGACCCGGGCCTCGTGGCACAGCCCAGGCCACACGAAGTGTACCCACCAACTCAACGCTCTGGTTCTCGGGGTGCGGCCTGTCTATGACCCGGGCGGTACCCCATAAGTTGACTTGGAAATCATGTAGAACTCCAACTAGCGAGTAGGGAGGGGAGTGGAGAGACCGCCCGGCTAGCTCAGTCGGTAGAGCATGAGACTCTTAATCTCAGGGTCGTGGGTTCGAGCCCCACGTTGGGCGTAACTTTTGTCGGGGAGAAGCTAACGGCGACTGCACCTTAAATACTCCTTCCAGATGTCGGCTTGTTCACTGCATTTAATTCCGGTTCCAGACGCGAAATTAGCTGCCGCTTCGGGGAAGACAGACATATACGTTACCCCAGGCCCCAAAATCTCTCTTGGGCCACAAAGCACATTTTTTTTTATTTTTAAACCAAGGATTGAACTCAGGAGTGCTTAACCACTGAGCAACATCGCCAGACCTTTTTTTGTATTATTTTTAGAGACAGGGTCTTGATGAGTTTCTTACGTCCTTGCTAAATTGCTGAGGCTGGCTTTGAATTTGGAATCCTCCTGCCTCAGCCTCCCCAGCCAGGGGGGCATTGCAGGCCTGCGCCACTGCGCCCTGCTTGGGCCGCACATTCTTGTCTCATGATTTTTCATATATTTTAAAGCTGAAATTCACATAAATTTCTACATATACACAACTACAATGCACCAATTAAAAAAAAAAAAAAAGTGTGGAAATAGAAGAAAGAAAAAAAATCTCCAGGTACACAGAGCTATCAGGAGGACCCTGTCAGTGTTGTAGTACTTGCCCCGACAGGGACTCTGCTTTTAGGGACTTCTTTGAAAGTTCTGTTATCCCAGCAGTGGTTAACAGGCCAAATCAAGAAGTAAAGCCAGTTGGGAGCCATCTAGAGTTCTGTTACTTACAAGGTTGAGCCTCAACTGTAGAATATCATGTTCAGAGATCCAGGGCCTTGTTAAATATCTTGCAGCTACAGGGTTGATATTGTTTTTTAAAAAATCAAACACACATTTAAATTCTCATGTTGCAGAATGACAAAGAAAATTGAATTTGCAACTTCAGGAGCTGTTTTGTGTGAAAGGTATGGCATTAGTTAGGAAAGTGCAGGGCCAAATGCTTGGGGACATCAGGGTGGAAAAGTATTAAAAAAAAAAAAAAACAGAGAAAATAGTATATAGTATTATGTGCCCTCCTGACCCTCAGGTTACACCATTATCAACTCACAGATAGACTTGTTGATCTGTTTCCATCCAGCCCATGATTTTTTTTTTGGGGGGGGGGGGGGGGGGTTGGGGGGGAACCCAGGGATTGAACCTGGAGACATTTAACTCCTGAGTCACAACCCCAGCCCTTTCTTTGTATTTTTATTTTGAGACAGGGTCTCATTGAATTGGTTAGGGCCTCCCTAGTTTGCTAAGGCTGGGTTTGGAATTGTGATCCTCCTGCCTCAGGCTCCCGAGTTCAGCCCACGATTTTAAAGCAATTTAATCTCTAAAAAATTATGCGTTTATAAAAGACAAAGAGTTTTTTAAATATATGTAACTATAATACAACAGTAGTACACGTTGGTACTGAACATTTTTTTTTTT